AGGAAAGCCGCCCTGACCTCGGCGTCTGGGCTCCCCTGCAACCTCGCAGGGCCGCGAAGGTCCTGCGGCATCTCCTTTCGCAGTTGCCCTTGCCCAGCCGGCCGGGGGCAGGCGCTGGTACCCCCTGCCCGCTCCTCGCGGCCCCGGCAGAGCCGGAGTTCCCGCGGCCGCCGCTGCCCGAGCGACTCGATCGCCCGAGCCGACCTCTTCCCAAGCCTTGGACAGCTGACCCCTGCGCACCCTAAAGAAAAGACCCCATTTGTTCCTCAGAATGGGAAAATTCCCGTGCATACTTTGCCAGAACTGTGTTGCTGATATTTCGGGGGTTGGGGGTACCATTTTAAATCGTGGCTTTCTGCCTCCTTGTTATGGTTCTGTGGCGACTTAAAACAAAGTGGGTCGTAAATCGTAAAAATGTCCAACGCGGCTGAAAAGTGTCCCAGTTTGAAAAGAAAAGTCGCTCAATAATTTTTCTTTTATTTTCTGTTGCAATCATTTGTGTATTTTTTCCCAACCAATTAACCACACAAGCCTAAATGAAAATGCAAAACTGATTTCTATAGATTAGCCTTGTGACTAGACGTTTTACCAACACGTTTTTAATACAAGAGTAAAATGTAATGAGGTGATTAAAAATAGAAACACGTGTTTTAGTTGTGTTTGAACATGTTGCAAAAAGCGACATTGGTCTTTTCATTTATTTCCAGTAAACTCAAAATGCAGTCATTTAAGCATGTTTTGCAGGACATGATGAGGGTTTAGAGTTGCCTAAGGAAAAAAAAAAGCAAAGGTGTTTAGAGGCCAGCGCCTATTGAACATACCTGTTTAATTGATATTTTGTTTGTAGTTCTGCTATGGAAGGTCAGCTAGCTGTATTTGATAGCTGGTATTATTAAAAATAAGGCACTAAAACGCTGAGGATTCCAGCTCGCTCCTTCAAACACTGACAACCATTGATGTCCCTTTGGGCATCAGGTTCTGCTGAGATCAGTAGGACCCCACGGGGATGAGATGAAGGAGAATGTGGAAAGTTGTATTGCAAAGAGACTTTATGTTAATAGTTTGGGCTTGCAGGTGTGTGTGTGTGTGTGTGTGTGTACTAGGTACATGAGTGAGTCTTGGAAAAAATTAAGATATATGAGTCAGAACAATTTAGAAGGTATGCTGCGCCACAAACTAGCCAGAAAAAGCAAACACATTTTTAAAAGGTTCAGAGTTAGAACCCCTCCTGGAATGTCCCTTGTATCTTGAAGCCCTTTCTAGATGATACTTCTTGACAATTTAACAGACGTCGAATTTGTGTGTAGGCAACTCCTTTTTCATTTATTCTTTCCCATCTAAGTTTAAAAACAAAACAGAAATATATGTGTGTGTGTTGAATTTTACTTGCCCTCTAAAAAATTTTACTGTTATTTTTATATTTTAAAAACATATGTTTTTAAAGGTAAGTAGCACATTTTATTATTCAAACAAGGTGGCAGAAGCATTCAACTTAGGTTGTTTCAAAGATTCGGTGTTCTTAATGGCCTCAAAGTCAAGGACTTGACTGAGTGGGTGGCCAGTAAAACAGAAATGGAAAAAATAAATCATATCTAGCCTGAAACAAATTGCATGGAATAAGTCAGGGAGGGACAAAATCGAATGAGGATTTTAGAATTTAAAAGTGCACTGGACTCAGCTTCTAAGGTGCCCTGTTTTTTATTTAGGAAGTGAGAGTATGAATACTGACAGCTCTCAGTCAAAACAATCCACCTCTGGGTGCCTTTTTCTGATCCGTAGGGTGAGAGATTAGGGATGTGGGTCCCATTCAATTCTGATCATTTAGGCACAAGGAGTCCTAAGACAGAATTTTTGTGTGTTCTCAGAAATGCAGGCACAAAGGGGACTTATCTAAGGCAGAGGATCACCAAAATTGACCAGTGACTAGTTTATCCAATAGTGGCATGCTAATGTGTGTTCTTGTATGTACTGAAAAAGCTATAGCGTTTCTTTTACAGCCCCATCCAATATAAAGAAAGATGTTGTTCATGCACTAATTTCAAAATTTTTAAGCAGAGGAGTTGCCTCTCAAAATAAATTAAAGCCTGAAACGCCTAGAGCTTCTATTTTAAGAATGATTATTCTTAAGGAGGAAACAAACAGCAGTGACCATTTTTTACAGACGTGCTCAGCCATCAGGAAAGCTTAATAAATCCCTATTTAGTATGCATTTATGCAGTGATTACATGAACTTTGACCTCTGAAGAGCTGTAGCAATTAGCTTCAGTGTCTAGCGTCTTCTACTCACCATTCCCCACTGGCTTCCTTGTGTCTTTCTTTTTCATACCTCAATACTTCATGCATTAAGAAATCGTAAAATTTAAAAGTTGACTTTCCACCTGAGGTATTTGCTTCTGCGCGAGCCAATTCTCCCTCCCGTCTTTCCCACTCAACAGCCATCTCAGATGGATATTGGGGCTCTGATTGTCAATATTACTCAAACACAAATGGATTTCAATTCAATCTTGCCCTGTACTTTCACAAAGATAAACTCTAATGGCCCAAAGAGCTTCATTTCATAGCTCGTGGCATCTGAAATAAATCAGATCTCTTCTGTGAGACTAATTTAACATTTTAAAAATATTTGATGTAATTTATTTAAAGTCAAACCTAATGGATTGGCAGAAAACTAGAGGAGGAGGCAGGAGAAGGGCAGCTGGAAGCTTCCAAAAAAAAAAAGAAAAAAGAAAAAAAGGAAGAAAAGAAAAGAACCAGGAGGGGAGAGGAAAGTGTTTTAAGTTTCTGGTAAACATTGTTTAGCAAAAGAATAATAGGAAAGTTGCCCCTTTCCCAAAGAGGGATGAAACTGTAATTGTTGCCTTTAGCTGAGAGCTCAGATAAACTGCTGGGACTCATTCTAAAGTGACCCATCACTGCATTCATCTCTTCTTGAACTTTCGGTGAACCTGAGATTAAACAGGGGTGAGCAGCTAAGCAGTTTGTTGTTAGCAGCCTTTTCAACAACCCTTTCAGACTGAGTAAATATTGATCGGTTTGAATCTGATTGTCCCAGAGGAAAACACCACCGCATTTGAATAGCCTCCAAAAGTAAACTTTAAAAGGTGAAACCCAGAGCAGACTTCAGAGCCAAAGCAAGACCTCAACTCAGCCTAGTTTGGGAACACTGTATTTGGGGAGTACTTTGGATAAACATAGAGGAAGTAAGGAAAAAAAACAGTAGAAAACTAGAATTTTATATCTCAATTATCTCAGGTGTCTAATTGAGACCCTTGTTTCCTTTTTAGATGTATCAATAAAATGTTATTTTCAGTTTTCCCACTCTATGTTGTTTCAGTTACCATTGCTGTTATTTTTCAAGTAGCTAACTGTGCTCCTTAGAGACCAAAGCAGAAAGAGAGAGACCTTGAAATAGGATGTGTTAAGCGCCTTTGATTTAATCGATTGGGAGGGCTAAAAAGATACAAATGTTTTCCTTGTTGAAAGGTGTATTAATGTTTCCTAAATGCATTGCTTGTTAACTGATTTATTCCATGACCTAGAGAAAGCTAGAGATGGTTAGCCATAATTTATTGTTCTCTCTCTCTGCTACATTAAAACCAGCACCTTAAAGACTGGAATCTCCCGGATTCCAGCGGATCAGGCCCTGCTTTTAGATATTGAAATAGAGTCAATGGCATGCTAATGACACTTTAACACATTAAAGTATTTGGAAGCCAGCCATCTGTTTTGCTGTGTGACCTTACACTAATAAACAAAAGATACAGTATAAGGCCAGGCAGGAAATGAAAGAAAGGGTTGACCGTCTTTGAAGTTCTTCTCCATCCACTTGAGTCTTTTACAGGCAACCTCAGAACCCAGCAGCTGAGGGGAGGGCACCGGGTGCCCTTGATATGGCCGCAGCAACTGCACCGCAAAGTTCAGCCTTCTCTTCTTTGACAGGGAAGTGCAGGAATTCTCACGAGGGCTCTAGACGGCCTGCAAATTCCAAGTTTTTGTAGGGTTTTTCTCCTCCAGCCCATCCTTTGTAAAACACCCTTTGGGGAGGAAGGAAGTCATATGTCTGTGTTTGTTTTCAGTGTCGTAAATTTTCTGCTCTACTGTTGGTCTAAATAAAATGCCTCCAAAAATGTGTGAAAGTAAAGGAAAGCAATAAAGAGGTCTGGGAGGAGAGCCACTTTGAACTCTATCATTTGCTGGTTTCCTCTTTTGAGAGCAGATATGTACCTTGGTCAGAAACAACTTGGATATTGAAAGGCTTCAGGGTAGCTTCCACAAGTTCACCTGGGAAGTACCTGTTGAGCCCAGAGAAGAAAATGACTTTTTTTTTTCTGGATTATGTGGCATGGAATTAGAACTATGGATCCATTACAGCCATGGTGGCTATGAAATCAAAGCTGAGTCTGAAGGGAATGAGATATGCAACCCAGAGATGGGGAAGAAGGAGGGAAGAGCCACAGGAAGGGATGGATGTTGACAGGAAGAATGGGGGAAGGGATGCAAGGGTTTACTAAAAACACTCCATTTGAAGGGTGGACTATATTAGAACTCTGCGTGACAATCCAAAAAGAAGGAAGAGGAGTGGAATGAGGGCCCCATCCTCATAACAACTTTATACTGGAGCTAATCAAATGTGAATCTCTTAGCTCTTGGTTCACTGATGTGAGGAAAGACTGACTGAAGACAGTTTTGGCTTTTGAAGGGAGTTTTGTGTATATATATGTCAACATCCAGCTGGAGGTGAAAAGGTTAGCACTTGACCCAGGAAGTATCCATGTTTGTTTCAAAAATAAATCTGCTTCATAAATTTCTTCATCAGTCTTTTTTTTTCCATTATGAGCTTTGATTATAATAAAGGAGCTGTTACTAACTTTTATTCAAGAAAAGGCCCATCTCTTTGAAAATATTTACCACCCTTCTCCCTTTCCCCTCATGAAATATGCCAACTTCGTAGGAATTAACAAATTGTAGCCCAGCCAAATACATGGATGCTTAAGCATACCTGAAACTTGAGTATATTTATTTATTACAGACATCCTAAGACCCGTAAACTCTGCTCTGGATCATATCTCTCCAGGATCTCAGAGCTGTTCATGATTGTACAGGAAATGGGGAATATCATAGGCTCACAAAGGATAACTGATAGAACTCAGTGTGGTACTTCGGGGACATCAAACATTGTGCGACATGCAAAAGACTATTCACGAATCACACAAAATATACATTCATTGTGCCATCCATCACATTAACAATTGACCTGAAAATACATTATATCCAACTAAGATAACTGTGGAAGGAAGAAGCTGGTTTGAATAATACTTTTAGGTTCTGAATAACCCAGCACAAATTTTAAACAGAGGGTGGCCCAAGAAGAAAGGAGTGGGGATTGGGAAAGACTTAGCACAGGAAGCTGGATTTCTGAACTTTGTGCTCTGCAGGGCTTCTTAACTGTAAGAACAAATCGAGGCTACCCTCTGAGGCATCTGATTGGATTTAAATGAGGAAATTTGTTCTTTCACTTATAAAATTGTGCCAGTTTTGAGAGTTTGCCCACCCTGTTTTAGTAACCTAAACATTTCTAGAAAATCTGTATAAAGATAAATCTCTTAGGACAAAGTATTCACAACCAGCAAACTCACACACATGAAAATGACTTAAATTAAGGGATGAATTAATTGTGTAAACACACAGTGTATCTCTTCTTCGTGAGCTCCTGGACTCTCCTTTCACTATATCCTACTTTCAAGGACAAGGGAGGAGAGAGCTGTACATATAGTTAGATAAAAGATGAGAAGATTCCTTCTGGCATGTTTCTGTTGGTAAAGGGAACTATTTTCCAAAAAGTCATCTGAAAGGAACAGTAGGTTCTGTGAATTCTCCTAAAATCAGGAGGGATGTTAAGGCCCACCAGAAAATGTGTGCTGGCACCCAATCTGGATTAAGGTGTTAACCCGGCACCAAGTCTCTGGTCCAGAATTATCTGCAAACATATTATCCTGGCCAGGAGCTCCCCAGATAGGATCAGAAAGGAAGAGACTGTAAATGGAAAGAAAGATAAGCTAAGCATGTGCTTTGGGTAAGAAGTCCCAGCCCAAGGAGATGCCTGGGCTGTGGTCTGGGACTGGAGCCGCCTTAGTGGGAGGTAGTCAGAGTGTCTGAGGTAGAAGACCCCGGGGAAGGAACGCAGGGCGAAGAGCTGGACTTCTCTGAGGATTCCTCAGCCTTCTCGTCGTTTCCTGGCGGGGTGGCTGGAGAGATGGGCAAGAGACCCTCCTTCTCACGTTTCTTTTGCTTCATTCGGCGGTTCTGGAACCAGATCTTCACTTGGGTCTCGTTAAGCTGCAGGGATGCAGCGATCTCCACCCTGCGGGCACGCGTCAGGTACTTGTTGAAGTGGAACTCCTTCTCCAGCTCCGTGAGCTGCTTGGTAGTGAAGTTGGTGCGCACCGCGTTGGGTTGACCCAGGTAGCCATACTCTCCAACTTTCCCTGGGGCAAAGTGGGAAGCCATGAGATGGAAAGGTAAAAATTTTTAAACCGACTTGAGATTACCTACACACTTCATGGCAACACTCAGGTAAAGAAAAGATCAAGAACTCAACACAAATCGGGCTGTGGAGGGTGAGTGATGAGGTGTAAAGTGTTAACCTGAAGTCAACCATTAGCGTGGTCAGATCGGTGATTAATGGAGCCTTAAGATATTAACAGAACACTACCGTCACAATAACCACCCCCACACACTTCCTACTTCCCAAATGTATAAAATCCTTGAGAACACGCCAATCCCTGAGGCTTCTTTGCCCCAACACCTCTGGGTACCCTCTCCATGCACTACAACACTAGTCTTAAAGCCTTTAAAAAAAAAAAAAGATAATTATTAATTTTCCTTGGAAATTAAGCATACCAGCTCCTTCCAGATTAATCAAGGAGCATCCACCAACCCCCAGGACTGACCTGTTTTGGGAGGGTTTCTTTTGACTTTCATCCAGTCAAAAGTCTGCGCTGGAGAAGATGTCTCCGATGCAGGAGAGCGACAGGCTTCTTGGTGGCTGGCGTGGAGAGGGGACAAGGAGTTATTATACGTAGCCAGGGCCAGGCTCTGGTGCTCTTGTCCATATGAGTGGTGAATGTACTGAGGCGAGCCCACCGCGCCCCCGGCATAACCCTGGTGGTGGTGGTGATGCTGTACCATGGGAGATGAGAGATTTCCAGAGTAAACAGCGGGAGCGCACTGGGGGTACCCACCACTTACGTCTGCTTCCTGATTTAACGCGTAGGGGCTGTAAGGCGCACTGAAGTTCTGTGAGCCATAGCTTGGACCACAACTCGAGTGGGAGTAGGACACCCCCAGGTTCCCGGAAGTCTGGTAGGTAGCCGGCGGGGGGTGGTGATGGTGGTGGTGGTGGTGGTGGTGAGGCGAACCGATCTGCACCCCCCTGCCCACTAGGAAGCGGTCGTCGCCGCCGCAGCTGTTGGTACTGACCGCGCACGACTGGAAAGTTGTAATCCCATGGTCCGAGGGGTAGGCTCGGGCTGAGCAGGTCCCCGAGTCGCCACTGCTAAGGATGGGGTATTCCAGGAAGGAGTTCATTCTTGCATTGTCCATCTGTCACTGAGTGACCTGGTCCTGCGAAGCCCTGGGTGACCGTGCCAACTTTCTCACTTCCTCCATGGGGCCTGAGAAGAAAAATGATATGAATGTACAGTGCGCAAGAGGGGGGGGCGGGAGGGCGGAGGACGCTAGGGGAGGGGCACGTGACGGTGTCAGCCAATGGCTGAGCCTCCTGCAAAAGTTTGCCGGCTTCCGCGGTGATGGATCACCGTTTCAGTGGCATTTAAATCCCCGGCGCTCCGCCGTCTAGGTGACGCGCAGTCGCCCCCCCAGGCAGCCCAGGCGGCGGCAGCTGCTGCGGCGACTGCAACGGCCGATTTGGAGTGCTGGAGCGAAGAAGAGCAAAGGCTGCCTTCTGCGCGCGCCCGACTCCGCTGCCCGCCCCGCCAGGCCTCCGGGAGGTGGGGGCTGAGAGGCGTCCCCCGCTCCCGCCCCCTCCCCACTGTGCACTGAAAGATGAACTGGCGAGAGGTGAGAAGGGAAGAGGGCTCCCGGCTCTCTCGGGGCGCGAGTTAGTGGGCCGGAGTTCGCCAGGTGGCCGCAGGTTCGCGGGCCCAGCCCGGAGCGCGCCCAGCCGGAAGGCGGGGAATCCGGCTGACACCGAGCCCCGGGTTCCCAGGCCGCCTTCTCTGCTCTGAGGCTGGGCTGGGAGACCATGGGGCTGTGAGGAGCGCACAGAACCGTGGCAGGGGGCGAGGCTGGGCCACCGGCTCTCCAAGCGCGGAATGGAGAGGGAAGAGCGCAGAGGGCTGGGTGGGAGGAACTCGGGTGGGGGTGAAGGAGACGAGGGCAAGAAAAGAAACTTCCCTTCTTCCAGGAGAGTCTCCGAAACCCTCTCCCCACAGCCCCCGCTCTTCATTAGCATGGCAATGAGGAGTTTCTGTAATTCGACCGGGGAAGGGGGGGTGCGGAAGAGCCCTGGAAACAGGGATTGCCAGAAAAGGCCGGGGGCGACCGGGCTCTTCTTCCCCACCCTCCCTCTCTCCTCGCTCTCCGCCGTTTCTTTCCCACTCAGTTTTGCAGCGGGAGCCCTCCGGGATGCGGAGCTACTCGACCGCCGGATTTTTAGGGGTAGGAGGCGGGGGAGAGAGATGACGCTGGCGGACGTGGCCAGCGTGGGGGCCGGGCCGTGCGCTGCAGGCCATCTGCCGGCGCCCGAGACCCAGGAGCCTCCGCTCCCGCGTGGGCCTCGCAGGGCCGGTCCACAGCTCCAACAAAGTAGCTGAACTCCCTTCGTTGCGTTCCTCTTTTTCTGGAGAGGAATGTTAGAAGAGAGAGAGAGCTTCCTTTTGTAACCTTCCTCATTCTGCTGCGCGTCTAGAGTGGGTGCGGGGACTGGCAGGTGGGAGGAGCGGTGGACAGATGGCTGATGGTGGACAGAACACTTTACCCCAACGACACCTCCTCCCCTTTCCAACTGGCTGGGTAGTTGCTTATGAGAACCTTCAAGTCTTTCCTTAGAGAGACACGTGAAAATCTGAGCGTCATCCCAGGCCAAGGGTCCTGTTCCCCATCACCCTCCTTCTACCCTGACGCTGCTGAGGTCGTTAATTGTTGTTTACTATTAGGTTTCACGTCAACCCTGGGCTTGTAGAGAGGAAAAAGCCAAACGGAGACCAATAATTGATGCAGTCTTGGGTAGGAGAAATCGAGAGCTCGTCCAGGAAGCTTTGCAGCCAATGCTGTATAAATTTTACTCCAACCATGTGTACAATGTTGGAATCAGATGGAATTTATAGTGAGGAATGTATGTGGGTTTGGGGTTTCCACTCCCCTTCAGCCTTTCCTCCCCTGTTAGAACAAGGAAGGTTTTTTTTTTCAAGGCAGGCACATTTCAAATATGTTAGTCACCCTTTCAGTCTTCTGTATTCTGTTCTCCACCTACTGAAGCTCCCCCAAACCTGTCCCCTCAAGAGGGAAAACCCATGCTGACTCTGGACTCCCTCAGTAACAATGAAACATTCTCCCCAAACATTTCCTTTCAGGTTGGTATTTCTCTGTGACTTTGATCCATTCCAAGCATGGTTAAGAGGGAGCAGGGGCAGGAAAGAGCCGCTTCCTGGGGTTGGGCAGCCACCCCTGCCCCAGTTTCGGATCCTGGGAATCATCCTTCTGGAGAAGGGGAAAGGCAAGGCGGTCCTCCTGGAGGTGGCTTCCTTGGGAGCGCCAGCTTCCAGCGGCAGGGAGAGAAAGAGCTCCTGTGGGGGAGTGGGCAGGATGTGAGGAGGTCGGTGCTGGCTATGAGAGCAATCCTTCCTCCAAGCCTGAGCAAGTCAGTACATTTTCCCCCGCTGCCTCATTCCTGTACCTTGGTTGCCCTCCTCAGCCTGGGTTTGCAGGACCCCCTCGGCTGCAGGGCGCCTGCCACAAAGCCGACCCCGGCAGGAGCCACTCTCCCTTTGCTAGTTCGCTGCTTCGGCGCTGCTCTCCCTCAGCCTCTCTTCTCTCCTGGCCTCTTTTCGGGGGTATCCTGGGTGGAGTGTTTTTCTTGGGATCACGAGCTTACTCTCGCACACAGGCCCGCAGACACACAGGCCCGCGGCCGCCCTCCTCCGTTTACTGTTCCCGGCTCCCCGCAGGCCGGGCGCTCGCAGCCGGGCTGGCTATGCCTCGGCTGGCAGCCCAGAGCGCCGCTCTCCGGGAACGGCACACAAAGGCAGCCTCCCCTGGCCTCGAGCCCTTAGGATTCTGTAGCTCGGTTCTTTCCCCACACCCCTCCCCCAAGAAATTCTGGGGGCTGTTCCACCGAGTAGGAGATCCTTGGCCCTCTAGGCAAGTAGGTCAGCGCCCCAAGACTCTTTCAACGCCTTGGGAGACTGGGTGAAAGGCGAGCTTGGTTACGCTTAAAATGATCGCCTACAAGCGGTTCTCTTGGCTCAAAACGCCTCTTTCAGGGCTCTTATACTAGAAAGGAAAGGAATGAGGAGGAGACAAAACGCCGCCGAGGCCCTGAACTGTTCATGGCATACGCGGCTCAGCCAAGCTGTTGTTTTAAAAGAGCAATAAAAATGAATTATGACTAAACGCCTTCTAACTTAATGCTTTCAGACGGGGATCCCCGGCAAATACGTAAGAGGATTTTTATTTGTGCATGTGTTCCTGCAATTGATCTCTTTGATGACATTTTCATTCATAGAAAGCGTTTGATTTATGAGCGTAGGACGAATCGCATCCAGGAGCTGCGCAGCCCTGGCCGCGACTGGGACGCCCTGCTCCTCGATGAGCTTGGGGCCAGAAACCAGCCATAGTCCCCACACTCCGCCGCGGCAGCTGGGATTTAGCAGAGGAAGGGGCGAGGGAAGGTAGGGAGCAAACCTATGAAGAAACATCGCGTTGTCATTGGAACTTCCAAGCCTTTGCTGTTAAGAGCCAGGTTCTTAAATCAACCCGTCCCACACACATGTTGCTTACATGCTGCGTTTTCTCACGGTAAGTAAGTAGGCATCAGAAGAGAGCTCAGAAAGGGAAAAATAAACGTGGAGAGACCTAACAAGGGAGGGGGAAAAAAGCAACAACCCAGTGACACACCCTAGATCACATTTTATTGATATTTCATTTAAAGTGCTTTTCTCTCTCTCTAGAACCTGGGTTAATTTATAACCTAGGGTGTAGAAACACACCATTTTAAATCTCAACTTGCTAACCTGACTTTGAAGCATTAATGATCCATTATTAGCAATGTAAACAGATTTAAGAATGAAATATTGATTTTTCTGACCCTGAAAAAAAAAAAAAGAATCCTAGAGTGACTGAACCAGAGGATTGGAAAGAACATTTTCTGGGGTGCATTTTCCAGATAGTAATCACTGTTTTGTTTTATTTTTGTTTTTCTCTGTCTTTTAGGTCTGTTTTGCCTGAACCCATCAAGAGCTGGGAGATTAATCAACCACACTGAAAATGTGGAGAGATTTATGGGGGAGAGGGTTGAAATGTGGATGTTTGAAACAAAAGTGTATAAATAAATGAATTGTTGATAACTTAGTTATTGACCTGGAGACTGGTAGCTTATTAAAGAAACTCCATGTTACTCATTCCTGGAGTTGGAGGTTTCTGTAGGCACTTTATTTCTCCACTTTCAAGAGCTTGGGCTTGGCCCAAATCTTAGACTGCCCAATTCTGTCTCTATTACCAATTTAAATCTATGGCTTGAACCTGTGCACTGAAAATCAAATCTATTCCCTTTAAAAAGAAGGAGGAGAAGAAGCAAAAAAGCAAAAACAAACAAACAAACAACAACAACAACAAAAACTTATTAGAAGCCCTAGTCATTTTTTGGCTTTCTGTTTTGTTGCTGTCCATTGAAGACTTTGAACATGCCGCCTTAATAAATGTATTAAAATTGAAAAAGAGGATAAATTGTGACTAGAATTTTATTTACCAAGTTAGACTAAAAGAAGAAAAAGAAACTGTTATGAGCCTTGAAAAAGGGGAGAAAAATAAGAAAGCTATTTATAGGAAAGGAGAATTTATTCTACAAAAAATATGCATGACAATGCATCCTAATGTAATACAAAAATAAAAAGAAAGTGAAGATACAATTAGATGATCACTTTCTTGCAGGTCTCATATTGCTCTCAGGAAATCACATAAAGGGTGGTTGAGTTAGGTTTAAAACAACTAAAACTCCAAAATAATCTGTAAAAGATGGCTCTGTTTGGAACTGGGTCAGGGAATCACTAAACAGAAAATCCTCAACATTTAAAGGAGGGAAGGGTAGGTCAAGAAGAAAATAAAAATAAACTCCAGAATAAAAGAAGGCAAAACCACCTGGTCAAAGGGGTTTTTGTTTTGTGATGCTTTGTTTTGCTTTAATGTTTTTAGTAATTCAGATGCTGCAAGTCGATTGTGGTGAGTGTGTCTGTAAAAAAGTCAAAGCTGTCAGCTGAAATATCTACGGGACTGTCGAGGGAACCTGGCAAACTGGGTGAAACTGTGTCTGAAAGCTGCAGGCAGGAATCTGTGGAGAAAACGTTAAAGTCCTGCAAAGAGGGGACCTCGAGGGCCTCAGGACTGTCATTGTTTAGGCCAGCTCCACAGTTCTGGCCCATTGTTGACAAGCAGTTAGGAACAGTGGGTGACTGGTGCTGAAAATGTTTCAGATTTTTCTCATTGCTGGTTAAAGGCGAGACTGGGAAACTTTGGGAGTCGCCATTGTGTCCATTGGGAGCCTGCTGCTGAGAGAGGGCATTTTGCTGAAAAGTGTAGCCTTCCCTCTCCAGAAGGGCCCCAGAGACGCTAAGGGCTTGCTCAAAGAGCGTCTTCTCTTCCTCGTCCTCCTCTACTTTCTCGGAGTCCTCAAGGCTTTTACATTTCCCTTCGCTATTTTGGTTTTCCTTGCACTGGGTCTGCCTCTTGTGCTTCATCCTCCGGTTCTGAAACCACACTTTCACTTGTCTCTCAGTCAAATCCAGTAGCGCTGCAATCTCCACCCTTCGGGGTCTGCAAAGGTACTTGTTGAAATGAAATTCTTTTTCCAGCTCTAGAAGCTGTGTGTTGGTGTAAGCAGTTCTCAGGCGCCGCGATCCCCCGCCGCTGCCATCGGCGATTTCCAGGGATTCTGCGGAAAGGGAAACCAACAAGAGACACACGCACAGTTGGAGGTGGAGGGGTCCGAGCGGGGTTATTCCACTGGAGAATAAATACAGCAGAAAAGATCAACTGCAACAAAATGGCCGCCCCTGGATGCAGTAGAGCTATTGTGCTGCCTTTCCTGGGAGCCCAGCCTGGGGAGACCCGGTCTCCTCCTCGTCTACTGAATTCATGCCTATGACTCCCCTCAACCTCTTCATCCGGGAGCAAACTTTATATTAGTCACAACACAATTTATAATTAATGCATCAGCTGCTTAGCTGAGCAAGAGCGATCTATCACTCTTCATTACTGTCAAAAAGCCAAACTCTAGGACAACTAGACAGGAGGAGGTCAGTTCCAACTCAAATAAATCATCCCACATTACACAAGTTCGGGAAAGTTTCCCCCCACTTCCTAAAAATATATATGTCTCATTGTAGAGCACAGGATCCCCTTTCCTCTCCATCAAACCCACTCCTGAGCCCACAGGGGCAAGGACAAGGCAACCAAGCATCTCTCCCTCTCCTCCTTCTCTCCCAGCCCACTCTCCCCTCCCCCAACAGCCACTCTCGGGGCAGCCCGGAGAAGGAAGAGGGTCCCGGAGACCTGGGGCCAAGTCTTTGGACTGACCTTTGTGGCTGAGGCAAGCAGGGCCGGTGGCTGCGGCGGCGGCGGCGGCGGCCGGCGGAAGTGCGGTTTTCTTGGCCGCCTTCTTCTCCTTCATCCAGGGGTACTCAGGCGGCTGCAGGGCGCCGGCGGGCACCGGGCTGCCGCGGCTGCCCGCGGGGCTCGGCTTGGGGCGGCCGCCAGCGCCGTGGCGAGGGTGATTGCCGGGGTTCAGGCTGGGAATGGTCTGCTCAAAAGGAGGAGGAATCAGTGTCGAGTGTGAAAGCGTCGAGGTCTTGATTGATGAACTTTGAAATGTATCAGCGACAGGGGGAAAAGATGTCAGGCACTCAGCGAGCGACGGCTGGCTATTGATAAAACCAATCTCTCGCTCAAATTCGTAATTCATGGCCTTCTCCTTGGAGCCCCCTCAGAGAAAAAGTTCCCTCTTTTGGAGGGGCTTTGGGGGGGCAAGGCCCAGGAAAAAGGCGAGCGCAGAGGAAAAAAAAAAATCTATCATAGAATATCGCTGCTAGGGTGTTTTTTTTCTAATTCACTGATTACAGCCGTATGGGGACCGCGCTACTATTAAACTATTGAATTCATGGAGACAAGGTTGAAATTGGACCGAATTGGCTGTCACATGATTGCTTCTGCCCAATGACAATTTGGGCTTTAATCAAAAGAAGCCACTGTCTGTTTGATTGATCCAAAAAAGTCGGGAAGGAACGCCTCATTGGGGGCCAGCGAGGCTTTATTTACACTTTTTTCAGGGCAAAAATACATATATGTTGGTGTGGGTGGGGATGTCCCGGAGTACGTGGGGGCGAGGGTGCCTGAGCGCCTCCTGATCTGCAAGGATCTGGTGTGTGCGCCTGGGAGTGTGTGTGTGTGAATGTGTGCGAGTGTAAGCCCTGCTGTCGGTCCCGCCGGTGGCTGCCCTCTGCCTCCCCCGCACACTCCGCGCATTGTTTGGGACTGTCGGGAAGACGCCTCGCACCTCACAAATCATTTAAGCACCTCAGTCTGACGCCTGCAGTCATTAACAAAGTAATCCATTAATCTTCAAAGTTTTGACACCCGAGGGCCCTGCATCCCAGCCACATAAGTTCTGTTAAAGCAGGAGAAAGGAGCAGAGGGAGAGAGGAGATGCGAGAGGGAGAATAAAGAGAGAGGGAAGAAGAGAGAGATGGAGAGATGGAGAAAGAGAAGACAGAAAAGAGAGAAGAAAAGAAAGATTTTGGTTGGGAGGGGGTCCTCCTTTTCGTTCCCTTTTCCTCCTTCACTTTTCCTGAAACCAGTTCCTGGATCTCAAAACTGATCTCTCTCGGTCTGTTTTGCTTCCTGCCTGTCTTTTTCCCTCTTTTTCCTCTTCTCCCCCTTTCTCCCTCCCTCTCTCTTATGTCCGCCTCCCCTTCTTCCCGCAGCCTCTCGCCCCCCTCCCAGTGTCCAGCCCAGAGTCTGTGCCCTCGGCCCATTGTTAGCAGGCTATTCCACGGCAGCTTTGCATCTGGCTCCGGCGGGAAGCGGAAAACGGGAGGCGGCTCTCAAAGCTTCCCGACCTTCCTGCGCCATCAACTTCTCAGGAGTGGCTGGAGAAAGATGCATGTGCCAAGCGAGACAACAACCCCAGGTCCATGTGTCCAAATCCCCGTAGCCAGGGCGGCGGCCAGCCAAAGAAATGCCGCCCCGAGCAGGCGCGTGCGGCTCCTGGCATTCTGGGTTTCATACCCATAGGGCTCGGGTGCGGTGAGTATTTCCGATTTCCAGAAAGTCTGTTGGAAGTTACCAGCAAGGAAAGAGAAGATGCTTGTTCCTCTCTCTCCCTCCCTGTCTCTTTTTTTCTACCCTTCTTCTTGTCCTTGACGCTCTGGCTGGGGGCTGGTTGGTTTAGATACAGCGAGTGCTCCCTGGCAGCCTGAACTGCCTCCCACACCTTCCTGATCCTTGGGCACCGGGGATGTTTGCTTCCGGGTTCTGTTGTGGGAAACAGCACTGCGGGGGAGAGGAGGCGACCCAAGGAGGAATTATAAAGATTCTCGTTCTCCTTCATTCTCTTTTTCCAATTCGGAGACTTGAGACTGAGCGCATCTTGGACGGTGCTAGAGGGTTCAAAAGATAACACCTTTAGGTACCAAAAAATAATTTTTTAAAAATCCACCAAGCCAGAAAGAGGTAAGGAGGCTGAGAGGTAGATCTGGAGGTACCTCTTTTCCCCCCCAAACCCTGAGGATGGTGATTCGCTTTTGCTTCCTTTGAAATAGACGAAGTGATCAGAGTCCCCCAGGCCGGCAGGCATCAATGGCAGGAAAATAAATCATTCTGATGGCCAGGGAGAGAGAGGTTGGAGGGGGAGAAAAATCTACGTAGAAAACAAGAAAGGCCAACCAAGGAGCAAAGGCAGGACCCCATCTCTGAGGCCGGCATCAAAGAGGGTTTGGGGTGGAAATCAGATATAAGTGGCCTATATCATTGACCACTGAGCACTGCCTTGCAGATGGAGATGCTATTTCGGAAAATGTGAGGTTTTTTAGTTTTCTTGCTTTTATTCCAAACAAAGCTCCGAAGGAAGTCTGGGCGCGATCAATCTTGCTCACCAAAAGCCTTGACAGCTTCTAGCCCTTAAGAACACATTTCAGCTTCCAGCTCCTTCCAAGATAAAATGTGACCAAGCAAAGAGGAGAGCAGGAAATGCAAGTAAATAAGGAAAACTAGTCTTTAAAAATATATATTTTGGCAGTGAAAAGGATTAGGGCTCCTTTTAGGAAGGGTGCTTTGCGGACTCTGGGATGGCGGCTTTTGGCATTTGTTTTTACCAGAAAATAGTATAGGCTTAAGGGAAGGGGGGTGCAGAGAGGGAGCAGCGCTGCCCCCATATCTCTGAGGCTTTGTCAGGGGCTGCGTGGGTGAGAGCTTTCTGCCGCCTCAGCCGCCTTAATTCAAATACCATCTGGAAGAAAACCCTTTTCTTTGACCACTCAACACTGAAATCTTCCCCAAGTCTATTACTTTAACTCATGGGATATTTTAATAAGGATTTCTTTTTAATATCTAGGAAACTGGGGGGTGAAGTCAATACTTTTTTCTTTGAAAGCCAAAATGAATGTCTTGACTGGTAAGATATGGGAAATCACATTAGAATCTTATTTTAAAATCTTAGCCCTGGGGGAAGGAGGAAGCCTCCAAACCATCCCTCCCTCAGCTAAAGAGTAGATTTCAGAAGTGGGTTCAAATAGTGATATCCCTGAAAGATCTTCATCCTTAGATGAAGATCTTTATTTTTCTAGGTAATTTTACTAGCTGTTCCTTATTTTTCCAGGTAATTTTACACGTGTCTCTAAACTGATTACTTAAAAGAAGACTCCTGTATCTGCTCAGCGTGACCAAAAGGTGGAAGCCCTAGTCCTCACAAAGCCTGGTTTTGCAGCCTCTGCATTTCTGAGGTGCGCCATATTTTGGCACAGAGGTTGAGGTGCGGAGAGCAAATCTATTTCTCCCATAGCCCAAACTCTTTAAAAAGGATATATATAATATTTTATATATATATATATATATATATATATATATATATATATATATATATATATTTCAACAGCCTTAGGACAGATATGGGGAAAGCACCTCTGGGTGTGAGAGGAACACTGAGCTCTCCGCAGCAGCCTGGCTTGGCATCCTCCGAGCCTTTTCCTTAAACTGAGGAGTTTCTCTAAAAGCAGCTCGTTGGTACCCAGCAGTACCCAGAAATGGCTCCAGTGCCTGCTTCTAAGAATAATCTGAGGGAGCTTCACAGGGGGAAGATAACGGCCATGATGATGGATATTTTGGATTGCAAACAAAATGGCGACATTTTCCTCTTCTGCCTCTGAAAGATACAATCCAGGGAGAATAGGGATTTATTTCTCACATCCGATGCTCTTGATCCCCAGACGAAAGCGGTTCCTCACTTCCAGCTCTGAAGCGGGTGATGATGGGATGCAGGTCTGAGGTTTGCATTTTCTGAATTTGGTTCCTTTCTCGAGGAATCCTTAAATCTGAAGATGAAAATATTTCCCTTTACTGTGCCTTCTTTTGCCTCTACCAGCCAGTCAGTAAGCAGCCCTATCTTAAATCCAGGAGTGGAAATGTAATATTTAGCTCCTGTAACATCAAATCAAAAAAGTACTTATAAAATTGCATTTTTATTACAAAGATACGGATCTCCTTGCTCTCTCCCCCTCCCCCTGGGGCCATAAAAAGAAAGCTGGGAGGGATGGAGAGGAAATAAATTCAGAGAATGCCAAATACTACATTCAGAAGGAAGCTGATGCTGGGATTCAGGCAGTCCAGGGAAGGACTGGCTCAGGTGACTCTCCCCAGCTCGGTCCTCCGTTTGCTGGAGACCCGGGTGAGCCTCAGTCCCTTTCAAACTGTTTTGCTCCGCGTGCAGATTTTAGGAACCATTCTTTCCTTCTGACACTGTAATAGACTGCAAAGCATCCCAGAGGAGACCAGGAGTCCGATTGCTCCCGGAAAGTGCTCGGCATCCTCTGCGCGGCTGGCTAATCCCGAGGTTTAGACGTTAGTTGGTCCGATTTGACCCGAGCAAGAGCGTGGAGCAGAAGACCGCCCTGCGTTATCCCCCGGCTCGGCCGCGGGGCACCTGTGCGCTCCCGCTGCGCCTTGGGCCGGGCTGCCTTTGTTTCTTTAGAGCACAGCACTCGGCAGCCCCTGCGCCCTCGGCCTACCTCCGCAGCAGCTGGGAACCGGGCAGCCCAGCGGGCCGGCCGCACGGCGTTACCAGAGCTGCCGCAGCCGCCTGGAGCCCCAGCCGCCATCCTGAGAATTCGCCGAGCTTCCAGGCGAATAGCCTGGCCAGGCCCCATGCTGGAGCCGAAGGGCTGCTGAGCCCGGCCTGCTCTGCCGGCTCGCCTCGGCCTGAATTCCACGCAGACCCACGTCTTCGGCCAAGGAACCCCTTCTTAACACGTATATTATTCAGAATAAAAACTTTATTTCTTTTTGTTTCTCAGAATGTGAGCAGCAAGGAATGTAGAATTCTCAAAACAAATCTAGTATTTTTCGCGTTTACAGATTTTTTTTTTTCAGTTTTGCCGGATGTTACAAACCTAAATCACTGTTTTCAAAAGCTGGATCTTCTCTGGTTTTATTGCATCATTACCGTTTAAAGGAATTATACTTCCCTTTGAAATAAAAAAAAAAATTCTAAGTACGCCAATACACAATTGAACAAAAGGCCCAAGAACCCTCTGAACCATCAGGGTACAGAATTTCTTTAATATAAATACGAACGGATGGGGATAAATAATATTTAAAACTTAGATTATTCAATGCTTGCAAAAAAATATAAATAAATCTGACTGTTCACCAGCATACACACACGGAAAGACGTACACTTAGTCATCCTTGCACAGGGAGCCCCTGTTTCAAAGCGCCTTTGATTTTTTTTTTTCTCATTCTTTATAAGAAGTGCAATTAAAAAAATTAAAATTAAAAAAAGTAATCGCTTCCCCTCGGGAGCCATAATGTACGAACAAATTCACATTGAAAACTCGACTAGAAAATTTGTTCATATACCCTGTTTCTGATCAAAGAGTGGAGAAGGTAAAGGGTGCAGGGCCAGTGGCCTATCGAGGAGCACGAAGAGATAAATATCGCTACTGATACAGCCATTCCAGCAACCAAGATTGCTACGTCACATAAACTATAAAAACGCCTTCCCAACGAGGGGGGAAACCGGGAAAGGAGTGCGGGGGCGGAGAAGAGAGAAAAGGAAGGAAGGAAGGAAAGGGCAGGAAGAACCTAAAAAAAAAAAAAAAAAAAAAAGCAACCAAAGAAAAAAGGTGGGTGGGGGGAGACTCTCCTGGCGCATAGCACCAGCCCACCATCACAGGTGGGTGAGCTTGGGTGCTTCCTGAATTCTTCCCTGAGAAGGATGGTGGGCAGTAAGGTCCGTGTAGGTGGGGTGTGGCTCCCCAGGCCCGGGCCCGTGGTGGTGGCCGCTGCCCAGCGGCCCGGCGCCCCCATAGTCCATGGCGCCCGAGGCAGCGTGGGGGAGGTGAGTTAGACCAAAGAGGGCTGGCCCAGAGTTGCTCATGGGCTCCACGTAGCTGCCCCCCACGAAGACGGGGCTTCCCTGTATGTGTGGGGTCCCATAGCTGCCGTTGCCCTGCAGGCCATGAGCGTGCGGGTCATAGTCGGGGGTGCCCCCTGCGCCCGCCCCTGCCGCCGTATAGCGCTTCTGTGGGGGTGGTGGGGGTGCACAGCTGGGCAGGGATGCAGGGTAGGAGGCGGGGGGCAGCCCGTAGGTACCCTGGGGGGGCTTGGAGAAGGGCGGCGGCGACTGGGGCTCGTACGGGACGCTGTTGACCAACGAATGCATAGAGTTCAGATAGCCACCGGCGCCGGGGGGCACGGGACTGCGACTTGGAGACTGGCCCCCCGATGAGGTTAGCATGCCCTTGCCCTTCTGATCCTTTTTGTACTTCATGCGGCGATTCTGGAACCAGATCTTGATCTGGCGCTCAGTGAGGTTCAGCAGATTGGCCATCTCCACCCGGCGCGGCCGGCACAGGTAGCGGTTGAAGTGGAATTCTTTTTCCAGCTCCACCAGCTGCGCACTCGTGTAGGCCGTGCGCGCGCGCTTGGACGAAGCCTGCCCCGGCGGGCTCTTGTCGCCAGCGCAGCTCTCGCCTGCGAGGACAGAGAGAGGAAGAGCGGCGTCAGGGGCTGCCGCGGCCCCGCCCAGCCCCTGACCCAGCCCGGCCCCTCCTTCCACCAGGCCCCAAAGGTTCCTGAATCTGTCAGGTCCCAGAGAGAAGAAGGAACTAGGTGCTCTTCTCTTCTCCTGGTGGGTAAAACAGCGGTACTCCCCATTCAGCCAAGGAGCAAATCACAGGTTTCTCAAGGGGGAAAGGACAGAGAAGTAGAACTCCCGGTTTGCCTTCCTGGTCTGGATTTTCTTTTTAGAGCTATTAACTTTCTGACTCATTTACTGGTCCCTTTGGCCTATCGGACAACAGCCTCTCTGTGGGCCAGTCTCAGCATCTCCATTCCCTTCACAGTAACTGAAATGTGGGAAACCTAATGTACACACTCATTCCCCTCCCACACTGTCCGACAATAATTAGGCAGTAGCTTCAACTGGCCACTTTTTTCTCTCTACCCAGAGGAGATGGGCAGACTGGAAACCTCAAACTTTGGGCAGAGAAGGCCCAAAGAAGAGATCCCATTGAAGGTATTTCTGGTGGGGAGGCCTAGGCCCTTCATGCCGTGTCCTATTCTTTAGGGTTCCCTATGTCATCAAGCAGCCTGCCCCGGCTTTTGTCCACTAATCTTGTACCCTTCTGTCCTCCCTGGCCCCCCAAATCCTAGCTATGGAGGTCCCAGATGCTCAGGCTCAGAGCAGGGCACTGGCAACTGGAGAAGGCAGGGGCAAAGGTAACCAAAATGCTAGGAAGCCTATGGCCTGGGGCCTTTCCTCTACTGGAGCCTGCTTCCAGGAGGCCCATGTGGTTCCCATTAGGATGACAAGTCTGCATCCCCCTCCTCCAGGAGATCTTTGGCTGCTTTCATTGTACTAAGTCTGAGTAGGGTCTTCCCAGAGGTAAGGCAGCCACTCCATCTGCTGGAGCAAAAATTGGCTCTGATTATAGGCAAAGCATTGATTCTGTCTTGGAGGGTGATTAGGCCTGTTTTTATTCTGCCACATTGTAGTATGGGGAGGATGTCACTGTTTTATTAGAAGAGCTATGCTAAAAAGATAGACAGTGGAGCTCAGGTTGTTTCTGCACAGAGGTCCTAACTCCAAGAGTGGAGCAAGAAGGGATTCCAACTGCACTAGACCCTACTTGCCCTTGGAGAAGTCCAGAGGGACTCTCAGCAAGTCTCTGGGGTTTTCCAGCCTACAGAGGCCTATCACCTCCCTAAGTTGCAAAGACTCTGAAAACCTTTTTGGTGGGCAGTGGTGTGGGAGCAGTGAATTCCAGATATGCTCCATCACTCCTAGGTTGTGCTAGATGTCGTGGGCAGTAGCTCCGGGACCGGGAGCCAGGCCAGAGGACCCTCTTCCAGAAGGCACTCCTTTACCTGAGCTAGAGCTGCTGGTTTTCTGCTTTGTGTTTTGTCGAGACTCTTTCATCCAGGGGAAGATTTGTTTGGCCACTGTGGGTGAGTTGAGCAGGGGGCTCTTGGCCGCGTTGGCGGGGGTGGGGTTGCTGCTGGCATTCTGAGGTGGGGAGACAGAAGAGGGAGGCGGGGGCGCGGCAGGGGTAGGTGCAGGGGGCTGAGGTGGGGGCTGAGGCGGCTGTGGGGCAGGGGGCGCGGCCTGGGTCGGCGGCGGGTGCAGGGGCGGCTCGCCCAGGCTTGGAGGCTGGCTAGGTGGGGCGCTCAGGCTGCGCAGGCATGCGTCACTCAGTTCGTGTGCCTTGGGGTGACCTCCGGCGCTGGAGGGAGACTGGAGGGAGCAGGCGGGTCGATGGTACTCGCCGTCGGCACCCAAAGCGACGGACGCCGGGTACGGCTGCTGATTGGCATTATAAGCGAACCCGTTGGCTGCCTGGTAGGGGTAGCCACCGTAGATCGCCGAGCTGTCGTAGTAGGTCGCTTTTTGCATCGCGTTGTTTCACGATCTTGATCGCACACTCTGACAGGGGTTTGACACTCGTGAGGGCGCACATTGGCACGCCCCCGCGGTCACGTGACACTCCGCCGCCAATGGCCGCCCCGCGCAGACCTAGGGGGGCGAGAAGCGCAGCGCGGTGAGGGCTCCGCGCAAATCCATCTTACTCTCAATAGCTAAGTGACATGAAAGCCATAAAAGAAAAAGTGGTCAGCAATATTTAGCAGCACGACTTGGCCCCGGGCGCAGGGAGCCGCGCTATAAAAAACCGCTGGAATTTACTGGCAGCTACAAATATTTGCTTAACTTGCTTCTGGAGTTGGGGGATTTTCCGGGGAGAGAGAAGGAGAATGAGTGAGGGCTGGAAGCCGACTCTCAGGAGCCGGGGTCCAAAAGGAGAAAGGCTTGATAGGCTAGAAAGGAACAAGGCTGGGAGCTTTCTTTTCCGGGGAAGAAGAAACTTGGGGTGTCGCTTAGTTTCTGCTCCTTGGCCTCCTCCAGAGGGCCCAAGACTCCTCCACTCTGGGAATCTTGGGAAGGGAACCAGGAGGCAAAGGGGAGTTTGGGTCGCCAATGTTTTCTCGGCTTTAGGACTGATGTTTGCCAAAAGAGCCCTGACATGGAGTAACTTCCCACCCAGCTCCTTCTTGGACCTTCCTGCTCCCAAAAGAGGTTTGCACAAAAAATTTTCAGGCAATTTGCCCCATCCAACCATGCTGGATTTCAGAAGCTGAGCTTGTTAGGCAGTTAATCCACCTTGTTGGGGATATGACTCACCTCCTCCAAATGAACCCCTTGTGGCCAAGAATGGGGGAGGGAAAACTTTGGTTGGAACACATTTCGCGCGTGTGTGTGTGTGTGTGTGTGTGTGTGTGTGTGTGTTTGCAGGAGGGACCAACAGTAACACCCCACCCAGCAAGTCACAACTAAAATCCTGAGGAGTTCTTTACTCCTTTCCTCTCCCTGTTTCTTAGGCACTTCCCAGCAAGCCACCCCCACTTCTTTACTTCCTCCCCCCAGTTACAGGAGGTTCCCAGAACCTCCTATCTTGGACTTTCTGAGGTGCTGTTATTCGGGGCAACTATCAAATTCTACCTGTTAAAACATGATGGATTAGAGAGAAAAAAAAACCCTCCAGGAACCTGAAAAACCAGCGTTCATCTCCATGACCACGGCTTGAACTCTCCTTCCAACTTAACGATAATAGGTTCTGTCTTAGAAACTGCTATGTAATTTGATGTATGGGGGTCATTTGGCTCCGGACGAGGGATGGAAGCACAAGCCATAAAATCCTGCCAGAGTTTCCTGATCTTTGTGTACTGTTGTTGTTGTTGATATTTGTTACTTGGCCTATTTACCTGCTTCAGAAATTCCAAGTAAAGGATAACCCTGAAAATCTAAAAAGCAGTTGAAAACCCCCTCAACCCTCTTTCATTTAGAAAGCAGTTTGCAAAAGTTCAATCTGTTTTCTTTTTGTTTTCAACCATTGCATGGTCAACCTCTAGTTCTCAGCACAGAAAAGTTCCATGTGAGTTTCAAATATTCACCCCCCCACACACACACACACTCGGAATGTTAGTCCCTCTGACCACTTAAGAAAATTATAACAAATTCAAAAGAAAATGGTTAACATTCAGTCCAACTATATATATTGAGTCCCAGAATTATTCACATTTTCCAGGAATATTAGATGCTTTGTTAACTAGAAAAAAAAGATAATGTATTGCATCTACCAGTAGATGATTATAATTCCATTGCTAATAATGGAGTCCTTTAGATTTCATTATTAAGCCAACAATCTGACCAACATCTGCAAAACAGGCACAATTAATTTTCCAGAACCTCAATTAAAAATTACAGCATCCCTTATCCAGAGTTATTGTCAGTGATCATGAGCCCTGGAGCATTGTTCCTCTTTTGGAAATAGGAAGCTACACATACCATGGTTGAAAGTAAATAAAGGATAAAATAAAACTGAATAGCAATTTAATGTATCAATTTCCTTTTCTTTTACTGAAAACAGTTCCTATTACATTTGGCAGAGTTAATGTCGGCCATTATAAATTTTTTAGATACCAGGCTTGTGTAAAATAAAATGTCAGGTTAAGAAAATTAGACACTCGAACAGCAAGATATTAGATAAAACAAAATTAAGTTGATTTTGCACATGCAATATTTCTAGTGACTTGCTAATCCATTATCACAGGTTATACCAGCCTACTACTTACTTAAGTCTTTTTATCAAGTTGTGCATTGTTTTGCACAATAACAAAAATATCTTTGAAAATCAAAGAGCATACAACAGCCCCCATAAACTTAAAATATGAATTCGATTCTGGGATCCCACCAAAATCCTTCCCATTGTTTGAGGTCAGCAGACCACTACCTTGGAGCTCATACATCCCCACACCCCAACCCAGCCCCCAAAGTTTGCAACCTAGTAAAGAAGTTGGAGATTTGCCAGCCAGGAAACTTTGCTTTGCACTGCCAAGCAAAGGCTGGCGATGAGGGGAGATTCCTCCACAAAGATCTGTTTCTGGACAATACTCTCCAGGTGCAAGAGCCGAAAAAGAGTTGAAGAGGCTAAATTGAGTGCAAGAAGCAAGCCCTATTGCTTCTCTGGAAGATGTGTCCAAATTCACCCTCCGTCCTACAAACATCGCTCCCTCTTCCCGTTCCCTCCTCTTCCTTAGCCTTCCCTCACCCCAAATCTGAGCGGGTTCGTCGGATAGGAGCCCCGAGTCCCCTGCTCACCTCTCCTTCTCTCTGCAACCCAGAAAAGTTAAGGCTGGGCTAGGGGAGAGACAAGAGGTGGGGGCGGGGATGGGAAAGCGGCCTGAACTCGAAGTGTAAGGGTATCAGTCACTGCCGGGAAGGAAGCTCCGGCTTGTGAACTCTTCTTGAACCGAGATTTAAGTCTGCAGCCATAAATCACCGAGACGTAAACTCCGCCATTCAGCGCCGGGAGCGGCCGGTTGCGGCCCTGCTTACCTTAACTTCTGACGAGCGCCGCAAGCACAGGCTCGGGCTCAGGCTCAGACACCGGCTCCGGCCCCCGGCCTGGCTCAGCGGCCCGGCCGGGTCCCCTCGGCGCGGGATGGGCACCGACCCTCAGCATCAGCTGAGACGGTAGGCGGGCGGGAGACCCTGAGGCCCGGTCACCGCCGCGCAGAGCGTGGCCGCCTCGCTGCTCCAGCACAGCTCGTCCAGGGCCGACTGGGGCGGCTTGGACCCCCCTCCCACCCACCCCACCCACCCACCCCTCCCCCACACCCCCGCCCCCTGCCCTTCCCGAGGGCAGCAGCCGCGGCCCGGAGATAAGCGCTAGTGCGGCGCCGGGCTCTGCCTAGGCTAGTGGCACCGACTTGGGTATGTTTCTTATGAATATTACACGCGGAGTAGCGTCTGGTCCAGGGGTGCGGTGGGGGGTGCTGGGGCGGGCGGGAGGGGAGACCAAGGCGGCTGGGGAAGCGCGGGCCGGTGTGGGGGATGGGGCTGAGGCAAGGGGAGGGACCGGAGGGAGAAGGGGAGCTCGGCTGTGGCGGGAGGAGGGCAGCCTGCCCCCACCCCCCAACGCCCTCCCTCTCCTGCTCCCAGGCGTCACTAAAGTCCAGGAAAATTATGCTAATGAGGACAAACGGCTCTCACAAAGGGGCTATCTTGCTGGGCTCTATTTCTTAGGAATTCGTTTGAGAATAGAATAGAACCACGTATTCCTCTGCCCTGGACACTTCCAATTGTGGGGTGAAGGGAAAAAGAACCAAGAAAAGTGAGTTTCCCAGACTTTGCCCAGTTTATTTCACCTGCAACCCCCAAACAGATCTTTAGGTGGGGGTGTGGGGAGCTGGGATAAGGCTTTTCTCTAGGGATCCCAAAGAGCCAACTGGGCTCTCTTTGGTTATATTTTTAGGCAGAAATTGCTGACATCTTAGCAGCCAGGAGGGAAGTGTCCTGGAAGAGACATGCACTTGTTCCAGCAGTGAAATGGGATGCTCCAGGCTCAGGTACACACAAGGGTGTTTAGAAATGCGGATCTCCAGGGCTCGTGTGCCCATTTCACAGTGCAGACACACAGCTCACCCACAGGGAAGACAGAGAAAGCTCTGACCCCAACAGAAACTGATATCATATATATATATAAACACACACACACGCAGGGCAGAGGAATATGTGGTTTTTCATACACACACACATACATATTTTCCTCATTAGTGGGATGGAGTAACGCTGAGCTGGGCAAAAGAAAGGTTCGAATTTGCCTGGTAATATTGCCACAACTTGAAAGAGGATGATTTTCCTCCTAAAGCCTCCTTTGCTCCCCAGCTTCAGAAGCAAACTCTGCAAGGGTTATGAGTGTGGCAAAAAGAGAGAAATGGAGATTTCCTGCAATCCCAAGGCGTCAACAGCGGGTCCTTCTCAAAGGAAGGTGTTAAAAATATAAGGAGTATGTTTAAACTGTCAAGGAGCCAAAGTGTCACCTTAGAGCAAAAACAAAGCCAGGGGAAAAGGGAGAAATCAAAAAGCACTCCGGGCCAGGGTGGCCTCATGCATACCAATGGTTTTTGTCATTTATGGCTGGGCAAGATTTATGACTCGGCGCCCCAAAGCTGTAAACAGAGCACAAAACAGCAAACACTTGCTCCTTAAGGCATATTGCAGAGCAACTTGAAAGGGGGAGCCGGCCGCGTAGGAGGTGAGAGCCAGCCGCAAAAATCCGTTCGGCGGCATTTTCTCTTCAAACCCGCCCGGTCGGATGTGGCATTTGAAGAAAGAAGGCGTGGGTCAATAATCAACCCGCACTTTCTCCTCCAAACTGCTGACGCGACTCTCACCGCCTTCTCAGCTAAGCCAGCTGCCGGGAAGGCCAGCTCTCCGTGAGAACCTGCCGGGAGAAGGAATTCTCCGGGCCATAGGGACCGAGGGCGCCCGAGCTAGGGCTGGGGCGCCCGGAATGCATACCTTTCCACTGGCGCCAAGACCCTGCCAGGCAAAACGCGGGGACCGGACCTGAGGAGCCGCGGGAGCCCAGGGAGATCTGAGGCTGGAGCTTCGTTCCGGCCAGGGCCTCTATCCGCCCCGATACGTGGCTCGCGGGCCGCGGGCCTCAGCGGGCAGAAGTGGGGCTCCGACCTCAAGACGAAAGTCCGGCGTCCTGGCACGCAGATGGTCGGTGCCCCAGCCTCAAGCCGCTCTGCTGAAATCCAAAGGACTGGCTTTGGAGCAAACGTAGGCGAGAGGATTTTAAAATAATAATTTATACTGGCGGAATGTTTTTATTTGTCGGTTTGTTACTGGTGTTTTGTTTTGTTTTTTAAGCGAAAATGCCGGTTGTTGATTTCCACCTCCAGAAATTACCGGCCGCCGTCTCTGAGCCCTTTCTAGACAAATCCCACAGCAGTTCACCCGGCTCCGCCAAAACCGCAGAGCTTTTCTTTACTGAGAAGACCCCTTGGTTCCACCAATTCCCCCAAATCCCCATGGCTCCCGATCTCTCATCTAGGGGAACTAGAAGAAAATATTTTTCTCAGCACTAGAAGAATACTTGGAGCAGCAAAGGTGCCCGTGGTGCCTTTCTACTGTTCAAGGGGGTGTCCTCCTGAAGGCGTCTAAGAGGGCCTCTGGCGGTTCCAAGGCTGTGCAGCCAGGGAGGAAGGTGAGGAATATCGTGGGTAAGAAGAGGCATCACAATCACAGAATAGGGAGGAATATTTTTGAGGAAATGTACTTGCTTGTGAGGGTGAAGCTGGCATTTTGAGGTAGAAGGGAACCAGCCTTTTTTGATATCTCATAGGTTATACATAATGGACTGACTTTAGCACTTTCATGGGAGGAAAAACCAATCTGAGCTCTATAAATGTGGCTCTTGGCTTCTCACTGTGCATGCTTTTATATAGAACCAGAGTCCATCCTTAGATATTTATTCAGCTTGCTGGCACTGAAGCAACAATAAAAAGATGCCTCTAACAGACCTCTATTCTCTCATTCTTTCTAGCAAAACTATATTATTTATGAGTCTTTAACTGGGTCAAAAATGCGCCAGAACTAGGTCATAAATCATATGAAATGCTGACAAGTAATTGAACAGCAATTAAAGCTTACATTTTATTTCCAAGGGGTGTTTTAGAGCACTTGAAAGGGCCTCAGTTAAACATGGTTACTGCTGAGGCCGGCATTGGGGAGAGCAGAAGGGCCCTTTCGTTCTGGGGTAGTAAATCCCACTCAAGTAGGGGATGCCTGATTTGATTTTTTTTTTTTTCAAGTACAGAAAGAAATAATCTATATTTTAAGAAGTCAAAGGGGCAAATCCAACCTCTGACTCCTTATAAGCATCCCTTTCCCTACTCCAAGGAGCAGAATAAAGCAGAGTTTCCTGCACTTTCCAGGGGGTTTCCACCCTTCCCAGGAGTGTGGGGTCCCCAAAGCCCAATTAGCTGGGGCATTCCCAATAATCTGGAAACATGCACTTTAACTTTCATCTGCCTCCACCCTGGCTACAGCTCTGTTTTGGGGGCTATGAAGTGGAGAGATGTCTGCCTCTGCTTCCTGAGGATTCTTGTCTCTGGACTTCCCTCCAACCCAGGCCCCACTGGCCAGTTCTGGAACTCTCCAAGCCAGCTGGGGGTATACAAGGAATGCCCAGATCAGGCACACTGATGAAGTCCAAACCTAATCCTGGCTCCCTCCTTCCTCTGTCTCCTGAATGTTAGAATAAGGAGCCCCTGGGCATCCAGCATGCTCACCCCACCCCAAGGCTCTCCTAGGTCTGAGCTGTCTTTCTTCAGCCCTCTGGGGCAGAGGGTGCTCAGGGAAACAATGGCGGGCCCTCCAGTTCAGATCCTTGGGTCCGGCTTGTGGGGAAGCATGCTCTGCAATCTGGCACTAAACAAAGTGCCTGGAAGCATCATCAATAAAATGGCAGCGCATCTGCACATTTCCCTCATCGATTTCCCTCTTCCAGCTGCTCAGGCTGCTCAGGTCAGCCCTAACCCTCCATCCCCTGCCTGAAAACACCACCATCGGGGAGAGATTCCTCTTTTCACCCACCCATCCCCCATGCCTCCCAGGTAGTCTAGCCCTACAAGCCGGTCCACCTCAGCCTGCACCTGGCTTCGGTACCCTCTTTCTGCCTGGGGATCAGCTCCTGAGACTCCAGCCGTGCCCTGCTACAATGGACAAAGCCACCCTTGCACTGGGGGCCATTGGGCCCACCTAGGTGCCCCCCTAGTGCCCCCTCCTTTACACCCCCAACACTTTCCAGGGAATTAAACTCAGAGACTGAGGCGCTACTGGGAATCTTTCATATGGTTTCGGTTCTAAAAGAGAAACAAAGGAAGAGAGAGGCTGAGGGTCCTGTCCATGAGCCAGGGTCTCCTCGCCTGACCTTTGTCTCTCACAGCCATAACTCACTCTAGATATGAACAATCAGCGGAAATACCTTAAAATAAATTCCATCCTCCTGGTATGGCCTCGACTTCCATCGGCTAACTCGCCCAGAACCGCTCCATGAGTGCTGAAAACTGCAATCGGCTCAGAGAGCGCTCTCCGGAGAAGGGGAAGAAGAAGGAGGAGGTGGGTTCGTGGGGGTTGGGGGAAAGCTCTGGCTCTGTAGAGAATCTAGAAAACGTAATCACAGGCGAAGCCTGCCTGGGTCTCCGCTCCAAATGCCACAATAATGCGCTGTATTATGTGCTCACGTGGTCATACGTCAACTTAAATCCTTTTATTTGAAATATGGAACCACTGAAGGAACTAGGTTGCCAAACAGAATATTTAGCTTTGGGGGAGGGTAGGTGGGGAACCTTGACCAGCAGTTTTGAGTTTAAGAGTTCTGTCTAAGCAATAGGATGCTGGGAGCCATCTCCCCATGAATGCCATGCAAGACATACAAGCTTATCTCCACTTACATTTCTTTACACACATTCCAAATACAAGGGTACAGCAATGCTATTCACATTTTTTAAATCCTTTTAACTTTCCTTACAGCCTCCCACCCACGGACAAGCTGGATCCTGCACACCCATGCACCCCAGTCTCCTCTGGCCGGCAGGCCAGTATATCAAAAGGCAAGGGGCAGGCCCAGAAATAACTGACCTAGACAGCGGACTTCCTCACAGCCTGCCATTGTATGGAATTTGCGAACACACACACCATACACCACAGCCACTAGAGAAACCAAAAAGGACCATAATTACCTGACAAAAGGTTAAAGCATCTCCTCCAAGTCCAGTTGGTTTTGTTCAGTGGGAGCCCACTAGGAAAGATGTGCTTGGCTATAGAGTGGTGGGTCTGGGTTTTGCAAAATCTGGAGAAACCTAGTGCCCTGACCAAACTTGCACTTAAGCATTTCTTCAGTACACAGCTGAGTGATACATGGAATTATAGGTTTCTAAATATGAAAAATATCAGAGGAAATGATCTAATTGCTCTGCAAGAGACCCTCCCCCCACCCCCCAAAAAAAAGAAAATAAAAGGAAAAGAAAGAATCAACCTTCACTGGAGTGCCTTAAGTTAACAAGGCAAGGCAATCTGGGACCTCTCCACAGGCAGGTCTGTCCACCCACTTTTCCAAGACAATTCTGTGTCCACCAGCAAATTCTACCCCCATCCCCACACAAGTTCCTATAGAGACATAAACTCAAAGATAAGAAAGAGCCCCCTTCAGAACTCTCAAAATAATTGAGCAGAAAACCAGTAGAGAACCAACTGTGCTCAGGAAGAACCTAACTGAAACAAATAAGCTGCTCCCACCCCTGATTCCACCCCTACTCCTGCCTTCTGCCTGGTGACATTGCTCACTAATTTCAACACTGTACCCTTTCATGAGCCGTCTAAAAATCTTCTCTTTTCTGGTCTTAGTTTCTGAATTTCTGAGAATGCTCTGAGGCTAGTGAGATCCTCAGGCCATATTCTTTTGTTCCTGGAGAATGGGTCTTCAGCTGGCTGTGCCTAAGTGTGAGGACTCACTTACAGCAGCTGCAGGAGGCTGTGCATGATGTGATTCCTCCCCTTCACTCCTCCCCTGCAGAGGAACAGAAGGGGTCTGATGAAAATGCAAGGTCCTTAATAAAAGAACCTGGTCATGGGTTGTCCAAATCAGAAGGGCAATAAAAGAAGAGACCTAATCCCTTGGAAGCAAGTCCTGGCCTAAGCTGGTGACAGTATTTCAGTAAGGTTCAATCTGTGGTGTAGCTGGAAGAGAACCTCCATGTGAACTTTTCCAGCTCTTATCTAAGTTACAAGCTGGAAAGTAAGAACTCCAAGTGAAAACCTGCCTCTCTCAGGTTTGGGGGATAGAGGACAGGAGTAAGAGCTGGTTTCCAAAAAGCATTCTCCTGTCCCCCAAAAACTCACTCCTCTCTTTCTTACTGCTGCCTCCCTTATACCCCTCACCAATCATTCACATTGAGCTCTCCAGATACCCTAGAAAGGGACCTGGAGGTATTACTGGCAAATTCCTCCCCACCCCCAAGTTTCTGAGGAGGCATCAACTCAAAGATGAGAAGGGGCCCCCTTAAAAACTCTCAGAACAGTCAAGCAAATGAAAACTCTTAAAGCCATAAATTGGCTGGGTACGGTGGCTCATGCCTGTAATCCCAGCACTTTGGGAGACCGAGGTAGCTGGATCACGAGGTCAGGAGTTCGAGACCAGCCTGAACATGGTGCAACCCCCGTCTGTACTAAAAATACGAAAATTAGCCAGGCATGGTGGTACATGCCTGTAATCCCAGCTAGCCGGGAGGATGAGGCAGGAAAATCACTTGAAACCAGAAGACGGAGGTGGCAGTGAGCTGAGATCACACCACTGCACTCCAGCCTGGGACAGAGCGAGACTCTGTCAAAAAAAAAAAAAAAAAAAAGCAAAGTCATAAATCAATGAGAGAAGTCATTGGTACTGCTTCAGAGAAATGCCTTAACGCCAGCAAAGCTCAGAGGCATCTCAGCTCCAGCCTGGGGCCTCCACAGGGCTGCTAACATCCCAGTTAATGCTCCAACTGCTGTTTAACAATTAACATTAACGACTTAGGGTGGGATGGGGTGATTTGGTGGGATGAGAAGGGAAAAAATCTGCGAAGTCAAAAGACATTTAACTTTTGAGGTTAAAAAAAAAAAAAAAAAAAAGCAGCTTCTCTATGAGAGATCTTGGCCTGGGCAGCCTATCTGGGGAACCAGCAGCTGAGAGTTCTCCTTTGCCACTCTGCAATCCACTTTCCTGGAGCAAAGCTACAGGCCTTTTAAAAACCCAGCTGCCAGTCCCTCTTCACTCACTTCACCGGCCTCCAACTTGGCCTGGGCTGGGACTCATGCTGTGGTCCTGGTCACCAGAGCCAAAATAGGGGGAAAGTTGGCTTGGAAAAAGCAGGCAACCAAGGATACAGACCGTTAGTCAATATTTGCAAGGCTGTTGGCAGATTAGATATATCTGTACTCAAACACTGTAATCTGATTTCTCTGTCAAAAGTACACTTAACATTTTTGTCCCATTACTTAAATCTAGTGGATTTTCTACTCAGCATCAGGTAAGGCTCTCTTAGCCCACTGTGTGTGTGTGTGTGTGTGTGTGTGTGTGTGTGTGTGTGTGTGTGCGCGCGCGCGCGTGCACGCATGTGTGTGTATGATAGATTCTTATTTAACATGAGATTTTTCCTATGGGTGCAAGGGTAGTACAAATGGGCCAAGTTCTCTGGACACGTGTGGATGTGTATATTGTGTTTACATAAGGCCCCAAACTCCTGCAACTATTTATACATGCAATTGTTCTGTTGTTTGCTGAGATGGAAATCATATACACAGAGTTACAAATTCCTGAAACGTTCCATCTATATTTGATATAAACAGACATACAGTAGCTGAGAAAGTAACCCAGGTTGACTATTGCTCTGTTTACCTTCTATTGGAAAAAATAATTGTATCCAGAACACCATATCAGCCTTAAAGCACCACTGAATATCATGTTGCAATTAATTAACAACCTGATATCTATTTGGGAGCAAATTTAAGGGAAGACTGAGGCCAGGGAATAGAATACAAAATCTCAAAACTTTTTAAAAAGAAGTAATTACTGAAAGAACAAAGCAAACCCATTCCTTCATACCACGCTTTTGAAAGCTATTCCAGCAGCCCCTCCCCCAAACAGGCAAGTAATTTATGGATCTTTTACAAGGTAATAAACCACAGTAATTGCCTCCCTGCATCCCAAACTAAGACGACAAATTAAGTCAGAACTTGGAAATAACTTAAAAGAGTTTTCCCTTGTTTCGAATAGGAAAAGAAAATGCCAAGACAGAAAACCATGCTCTTCCCGTAGGAAGAACCCATGATGAGCCCCGATGAAAGAGGGGAGAAGACTCGCTGTCTGCGAAGTCCTAAAGGTTAGAAATACAGCAATCTTTCTCATGCCGAAGGAAAGGCAAAAGGACCTAAGGAACTGCAAGGCAGTGATACAAGTTTTCCTTAACAGGGGGGCTGGGACTGTCGACAATTTCTTAACTCACAGCCTCCTCAGTCGCCTCGGTCGACAAGGAAAGCAGCCCACGCAGCAGCCGCCGCGCCCGTGCCCGTGGCCTTTACTTGCTTTTGCCCTGAAGTTCAGTGTGGTGGTTTGGGGCTTGCAGGAAGAAATAAGCACACCCCCTCTGACTCTCCACAACCCATCTTTGCCTTCTGCAACCGCTTCTCCTGACCATCGCTGGCTTTGGGGTAGGCTCTTTGTCTGCCTGATGCCCCGCATTCGCAGGGCAAGAAGCTTAAAGGAATCCAATTCCAAACTGCTCTGAAGTTAAATATTGACCAGAACCTCTTTCAACAGTCCGCGGTTGCCAGGAACCGTGGAGGGCCAACTCCTCCCAACCGCCCTGGTGCAAAGTCCCACGCGGCAAAGAGTTTTGGAGCAGCGCTTACCTAGAAAGATGTTTAAATCTGAACCAGAAATTGTCTCCAACTCCAGGCGCTCAGGGAATCGCCTTTTCCGGTGTCCAGGCGCTCTGCAGACAAATAAACAGCAGAAGGTGAATGGCGGCTGTGAGGGAAGGGAGTTGGAGGCCGGGAGTGGGAAGCGCGGCTCCTGTGGGCGCCAAGGTGGCCCTGGAGGTGACGCGAACACCAAGGAGTCGCCAGGGCACTCGTCCATGCGGCGCACTCATTGCTCGAAATGTTCCAGTCTACAAATGGCCCGAAGATGGTGATTTATTTTTGTAAAATAAATACATACTCCATTTCCACACCCATACTTTCTCCTTTTTCTTTCTTTTTTTGGGGGGAGGGGGGTGCGGGGGGTGGAATGGGGAAGGAAAGAAAATGAAGTAGAGGAAGCTGAGAGGGTGGAAGTGGCTTTGCTGGTGGTGTGGACTGCTCTCAGAGAGCTCTCTCCTCAGGCACCCCAACTTGGAGAATGTGAATGCTCGCTTGATTTTCCTTTCCTAACAAAAGGAAGCCTTGTCTGGGAGCATTCAATCACGGACTCTCCTGAAACCTCACTAATAGTGTTCATTTCTGTTGGCGCGAAATCAGACCCGAACTCAGTCCACTGGCCAGAGGCAGTCTTGGGAGGTTTTGTCTTCTGGTTTATTCAACTCTAGGTGCGTTCCTTCTAGGTCCTAGTGGGCTGGCGGGGCTACCGCAGCACCTAGTCCCTCAGAGCAGGCCAGCTAAGACTGCTGGAAACTGGGAGGGATGCCGGCTGGTACAATACCTGCTCAGGGGCCCTGCTCCTGCCTGGCCTTGCGCAGCGGCCACAGGCCGATTTGATGCCTTGATTCTGCTCAAATCTCGTCCCTCACAATGTTTGCAACCCTCTCTTGCCCTCTAACCAACAAATGGTCACCAAGCCAGCAGTCAGCTTTCTGGGAGTGGGAGACGCTGGGAAAGGGGCAAAGAATCGTCCACTCGCCGGACCCTGGCTTGGAGAAGTTCTGCGCTCCGCTGGGACTCTGCGGGCCCTTTGCGTCTACAGACCTATCCCTGCCCCCACTACGCCTTCACTCAGACCCAGGTAACCTCTTACCCCAGCCTGCCCCAAACCAGCCCTCCGCTGTCTGTCTGCCTTCATGCATTTCTGTAGATAGCACTAAGAGGGGCTATCAAATAGCCGAGGAGTCTCCTGACCTCTGGCTTCGGAGCCCCCCAGCACGTTGAACAAGTGGCCGCACACCAGCAGCTGCGCTCTGCCACCATTCGACCCGCAGCCCCCACAAAGCAAAGGAAAAGACTTAAGATCCACGCTGCGCCCCCTTTCTCTTGTTCAAACTTGCTTTCTGTGTCCCCAAAGGGAGTGCCCACTGGTCATGGGGATCCTGGCATGACCGTGAGCAAGGTGGACTCAGCCATCCCGCACTTTGCCTCTCAATTTCACCCGATAAAGATCCGCTATGCCTCCATCCAGCACTCCCCTGCGTGACACTTAGGAGTATGTAATTATTATGGCTATTATTATTTTTGCTGTTTCCTTATCCCCAAGTCTAATATTCATGGCTGCTGTCCCCCATAAATCGTTCAGACTAATGAGTCACAGAGAGATGCTGCCCAGGTCTCTCACTCTGCAATGGCCGCCACCGCCGCCGTGGCCTCGCTCTCCGAGTTTTTGGCGCTCGCTTGCTCCCTCGCTCGCCCGGTGCGGGTGATTTATGAACGCCGGGAAAATTGAACAAAGCCGCGCGCCCGTCCTGTGGTATCTCTGCAGCCTTCCCCAGCGTGAATCAGAACATTACCAACTGTCTGCGCATCCGTCCCACTTCATCACCAAAGCCAGGATGTGACCGCAGAAAACCCAAGCCCGAACTCACGATTCCCCGGACGCGGCGCGCTCCCCGGACTCGCAGAAACCCTGCGGAAAAAGCCCCAAGACCTGGCGAGGGCCCGCCAGCTCCGTCCTCCCTGCCGAAGGGCTGGTCTCCTGCCTTCCTGAAGGAGTTAAAAGCTTTTGGAGATAAATCTGAGGGTGTGTGTTTTTAAAAATCAAATGGTAAGTTGGAGTCTCACTTCTGAGAGATTCATTCCTAGTGAGGCCCTGACGACTCCGATCCATTCCTGACGATCTGCATTAATTATTTAATGAGTCACGTGACCTCAAAGATTACAATTTCAATATCTCCCTCGAACAGACGCTACACCTTTATCAGCTGCAACCAGGGTCCTTGTTTGGCTCTGCAGGCCTCCGGGGCACATTCATCCTTGCCCTGGTCCGAGGCAAGCCACCACCATCGAAATAGCAGGGCAAGCCTGACAGAATTAGTCATCCTGGGATTATGACCGTTGTGGATAGTGGGGAGTCCTCTGCTCTCCTAGGCGCCCTGACATCTGTCTCCTCCTGAGCCCAGTGGCCAGTCCACCTGTCTGAGCTTCATGACTAGGGTGGTTTGGTTACAAAATCTCCCCAACAGCTTTGATGGCCCACGAGGCAAGAACCCATCCTTCTTCTCTGGATGTACACACCTGTGACCACCCAGGTCAAGTGTAAGCTTAGATGCATACCTCCATTCCTGGCAGAATACCTTCCTAAGAGGAAAGATGTCTGTGCCCTTACTGCTCTCTAGAGTGAGACTAAAGGTTGCATTCCACCCCATACTCATTAACATAAGGAACGGTGGAGGGAGGATCATTCAGCTGCCTCAGTTTTCTCATCTGTGCAAAATGGCCTCCAGGTCTCCTTCACTTTGGACAGTCTTTCAATCTGGGAATCTCTTTCAATTCCAGGAATCAATCCCAGAGAAAGTGGGGCTGGCTTGAAAGGGAGGGGGTTTCCCCATGAATTTGGAGTCTTCAGAAGAGGTGCCAGTTCTGTAAGTTGAAGACTAGAGGGTTTCAAGACAGCCACAGCAGCCTCCCTCATACCACCAAGGGAACAGAACACAAGTCTCTTCCTCCTATTGTTTCCAGCCCATGTGTTTCTTTGAAACACAAAGCAGAATTATTCTTGGGACAGTGTATAATATAGAGAAGGGGCAACAGAGCAGCAGTTGAGAAAGGTGAGCCTGTGTTCTTCTATACAAGACTGTGTCTAGGGATGCAGAAACCAAGGGAGTGCCAGGGAAAGCCTACTGCCTGCACAGAACCCACTCATTCAGATGGGAAGCCCCAGGCCTTTTTGCTACATTGATTCTTTGGGTTTTTCTTCTCTTTCATTCTGAAGAGTCATTGATCTGTTTCTATGCGGGAACTGCTAGAGGGAAGGCAACAGTGAGGAGAGAAGCAGAGTTTGGAAGCTTAGGGGAACAGGGGGACAGAGGAAAGATAGGAATATCCACCCTGCCCCACCCCACAGGGAGGAGGCTGAGATGTAGGGGAATGGGACCCCCTGGGACAACTGGGTATGAAGTCGGAGATGCTATGCAAAGGGACTTCCCTCCTCCCCCATCCATCTAGGTAATCTTCCCATGAGCTCCATCCTGGGTATTAAGTACTCTACTATGCCTGTCACAGTTGAATTCCTGCTGTAATAAAACACCGGGTATATCGTAGATTTCAACAAAACTAGGGAAGCAAGCCTGCAAAGTGCCATTTTTCTTCAAGGGGGAGAGTGTTAAGTACTTAATTCAAACTGTGACCATTAAAGTGTCTCCTATCCGATTTAGGTTGATTTCAGATGTTGACAAAACTTTTATCTCCAGAGTTATGCCCAACTTGGCTCTGTGACTAAAGCAGATGAGTGTGTATTGGAGGGAGGGAGAAAGAGAGAAGAGGAGAGCATATGTAAGGCTTATTTTGGTAAAATTATAGAGCTTACACAAAATACTGTCTTTAAAGGTCAAGGGTTTGAGGGGCCAGTAGGGTTTGCTTAAAACAAAACAAAACAAAACAAAAAACAATTAATGAGATAGAAAATTTGTCCTCTCAGTGAACTCTTAAGGTTGCCCCAGCAAAGGGCAGACAATGCATGATTTTGAAGTACAAAGTAGGATTTTCCAATCTCTTATAACAAACGCCCTTAAAGGACAATTTGAAGCAGGCAAAACAACACTAAAGAAATGACAATCATTTGGATCATTTTCTATAATCTTGGTTTTGTAAAACTCACCAATACCTTAATAATCAATACAGTTGGGACAAAAAAGCCATCTTGTCCTGTAATATCAGAAAAAATGATCTCAATCCTCTATCTTCCCTTTCTGGGTAGACTTATAAGTGCAAGTGAAAGAAAGTCACCCCCTTCATCCTCATACAACTGCCTCCAGCATGAAGCTAATGAATGTTCCCATACCCCTCTTTTCCCACAAAGGAGAAATGTAAGAATTTACCTTAAATGATGATAGTCTGCCATTTGAGATTTTGCAGCTTGACACTCAATTTCCACTGAGAGTCTAGGCATTTTTTTTTTTTAGCAGACAGCCAAGATGCTGTGTCCTTGCCTGAGACCACATTATTTGCAAGAAGATCCCTCTCTCTTCCACAGACTTTTCCCAGAGAATGCCTTTCAGAATTGCTGTTGAATTACAAAGAAGTATTTATTGTTTGAGGTGATTAATGATTCCTGGGAAAATTGCTATTTTCAGCGTGATTTAATTTTGTTTTACAAGTGTGTCTAGTAGGGGGAGGGTTAATAAGTTTCAGCAGCAGTTACATTGCCTCCAGAAATTCCTGGCACCCATTCACACCTTATAAAATGCACTTTATGCCAGGTTTCTCCTGATTTGGGAAGGTAAGTGTGTATTTGTTTGCTCCCGAATTTTCTTGGCTCCTCAGAGACTGGTATCTATCACTTTCCTCTCAAATCTGATTTGTGGGTATAGAACTGATCACCCTTGTTTGTATCACACACAGGGCAGCAGGGGTGAAAGGGGTAACAGCTCTGACAGTGGCTAAAGGGTTTTGCCACTAATGAAAAAAAATGTGTTTAAAAATTCTCTGATGTTGCAGAGGCAGGTGAGCACCTACTCCCATCTATGCTAAAATTACTGCATAACCTCAAAGCTGCACGTTATCAAGGCCAGGTAACAGTTCTAATATTCTGGGGCTAGTGCGCACTGGTTTTTGCTGTCTTATTGTAGGGGACTCCCTGCAGTAAGCACCAAATCTAAATTAGTAAACAAATACTAGGGTTATAGAGATTGAGAAGTGGGTTTTGATTTTCAGCCTTTTGGATCTAGATCTCTGGAATCGAGCAGAAAAATCACAAAGCATTTGAGGAAAGTGACCCTAATTCAGAGTTTTGCTATTTTCCAGCAGTAAACTCTCCCAGGTCTACTTTGCATGGGGTGAACTTTGAAGGTATATTATGATTTTTCTTTCCTCAAGAGAAACTTTGGAGAGTGTCCTTGTAAAATTCAGTTTATTTGAAAGCTCCTTCTTCAAAAAAGAGAAACAACCAAGCAAACAAACAAAAATTCCTAGTCTGTAGTTAGTGAAGAGGACCTTAAGAACAGCCAAGAAACAAAAAGTAATCTCAACCTTTTGCACGAACTATTTTTTATCTCCAGGGAAACAGGCAGATTAAGTGTGAAGGTGCAATAAATACCAAAGAGACCACTTCTTTCCAAGTGTGCTCAGAGTTCAGTGTGTAGAACAGCTGCAGAAACTCCTGGGCCCACAGCACTGCACGGTTTCAACTTTCATTGCAGGGAAGGACACGTTTCTATGCCTTACAGAGACTTGAAGCCTGAAAGACTGGCCAAGTTTGGGAAGAAGAGGAGCCCTCTCAGAGCTCAAGAGCCTTCCTGCTCTTTGGAACTTTTCCACAGTAGGCCAAGCTTGACAAGAGTTCAGCTCAAGTTGAGCATACATACACACACTCTCACACACAAATTATGTGAGCCGTCAGAATCCAAGTGAATACAGCTCAAGCTATCTACAAGGTTTTTACATGAAAGGTCAAGTATCTCAATCCAGAGGACTTTTGTTTTCTTAATGAAAAGCTTAGAAAACACATGAATCTTAGATTTTTAATGTTTTTTAAATGGAGTTTATTCTTAGCACATGGCTTTCTATATAGCCACATCACAATTTGTACAGTTCCACATAAGTCTAAATGCACTCCCTTCTCCCCAAAGACTGTGTCCCAGAAGGGGACAACAGCATCTCCGTAACAGTATCTTAAATAAATGCAAGTAAGGAAAACTAACATGTCACACCTACCATCAAGGTCTACACATCTTAAGAATTAAATAATCTTGTGAGGTCCACAGTGTCTACTCATTTAATCAGTTCAATACAAGCTTGGATGAGCTGCCTTAATGGGGGGGAGGAGGTAAGGAAGGTGGGGAAAGAGTCTGTTTTCTTCTGCTTTCAACAAAGATGCAAGTATACGTCCCCAGTCAGCATGGGCTGTCCAGCTAGCTGACTGTAGCCATCTCAAAAGTATTTGATACCAAGTAGTCCTTCTCAGGTATCCACACCTGGCAGCCTTGTTTCAGGCCAGCAGGTTGTTCCACCAACCAGCATCCTGGACAACTGTCCTCTCTTGGGTGGCAACCAGCACACACTCTTACCCGGATAATGTCTTCTTTTTGGTTATCCTTTTCACCAGTTTGGGTTTGTTTTGGTGTCTATTATGGTCCGGATGGGGAGGGGTGGATGAGGAAAGGAGCAAGAGAAGAGAAGAGAAAAGCAAGTAAGGGATAGAAACTGGTCAAGGTCTCTAGAAGATTATATGGAGGAGGGAACCTGTGTGGAGGTGCTCGGGTGGGGGTGGGGATGGAGGTGCGGGCTCTCAGTTTGTGCTTTCCCTGGTGGGCCGGCAGAGGCCGAGGCCGAATTGGAGGATCGCATCTTGGTGTTGGGCAGTTTGTGGTCTTTCTTCCACTTCATCCTCCGGTTCTGAAACCAGATCTTGACCTGGCGCTCGGACAAGCAGAGCGTGTGGGCGATCTCGATGCGGCGCCGCCGGGTCAGGTAGCGATTGAAGTGGAACTCCTTCTCCAGCTCCAAAACCTGCTGCCGGGTGTAGGCGGTTCGAGAGCGCTTAGGCTCCCCTCCGTTATAACTGGGGTTGACTGAAAACCCAGAACCCCGAAAGAGAAGGCCAAGGAGGAGGGAGCGGAAGAGAGAGAAAGGAGGAGGAGAGAGAAGGTGGGGTGGGGAAGAGCAATTGGACATCATCATTATATAATAACCTGACACCAAGTTCACGCAAGATACATAAAACGGCAAAGAAAATGTTTCACAGGCTATTGACAACGGGAAACACCCGAGAGCCATAAAGAATGGTGCTGGGCATTGGGGCTGAAGAAAAGCTTCAAAGACACATGGCCTGAAGCCTCTGCCAGGGCAATTAAATTTATGGGGGCTATAATTACTGCCCTAACAGTTTGGCGTCTCGTAAATCTCCTGATAAAGGGACCCTGGGTACAAAAGGGTTCTCACATTGGGATCAGGCGGCTAGCTGGCGCACACATACCCACATCTCACCGCAGCCCGGGCCAGATGGGGGCTCCCCTCCCGAGGACCCCTTCCCCTGAGCTTCTCCCTCCTGACCCCGACCCTCGAACCCAGGCCCAGCCCCGGCCCACCTCCCGCGCCTCCCCAGCGGCGCCACGTACCGGCGCTGACATGGATCTTCTTCATCCAGGGGTACACTACGGGCTCCTTGCCCTTCAGGCCCAGCGGGCTCTTGTCGGCCAAGAGCAGCGGGCACGCGGGGGCGCTGCCCCCTGCCGGGACGCCTGGGGTGGCGGGGGCCGCCTCGCAGCGCCGCGGGGCCGCTGGGGGCACCGCGCGAGGCTGCAGGGGCGGCGGCGGCTGGGGCTGCAGGACGTGGCTCGAATGTAGGCCGTGCGCCGGGCCCTTGGCGTGCGCCAGGGGCTGCTCGGGCTGGGGCGGCCGCCCGGGGCTCGCGCCGCCGCGGTAGCCATAGGGGTAGGCGGTGTCCGCGGCCCCGTGCGAGGGGTACAGCGCGGCGGCAGGGTAGGCGGGCTCGCGGGCGGTCCGCGGCGCGTAGTAGGAGGCAGGGGGCTCTCGGCCGCCGCCCGCGTGAGGGAGCTGGGGCTGCTGCGGCGGCAGGTGCTGGGTCGGGGGCGCCGGGGGCTGCTGGTAGCCGGGGCCCCCGCCCGGGCCGCCGTCTTCGCCGCCCGGGCCGCTGTGCTGCGCGTACTCCTCAAAGGGAGGGAACTTGGGCTCGATGTAGTTGGAGTTTATCAAAAACGAGCTCATGGTCATTAATTTGTGAAGTGCAAAAATACTAATTTTTCTCGCGTTGTCGTTTTTTCTGGGCTCGCCGAGGCCCCTCCCCCTCCTGCCTCGCTTCCCATCCCCCTTTCCTCTGCGCCCTTCCCCTCCCCCCGCTGTCAAGTGCCCACCCTTCCCCCTCCCGCAGACGCCGCCACCAAAGTTCGAGCCGCTCCTCCCCAGCCCAGCGCGCGCCCCGCCCCGTGCCCCACGTGCAGCGCCCCCACCAATGGGCGCACCGCGCGCGCGGACCCGGATCAGGAAACGCGCGGGTGCGTGATGGATGCTGCTGTCCTGTCCCTGGGCTGGGGGAGGGAGCAGGAGCTTTGGACCCCAGCCCCCCAACTTTGGTTCCCCCTGGAAATTCGGGCCCTGTCAGGCTGTAGGTCCTCTTGGGAGCCCTCTGCTTGCCCTACAGCTGGCTTAGGCCTCGGGCAGTCTGGCAGCCGCGACTCAGCGCTGACCTCGGGCGCAACCCAGTCAGGCTTCGCGTCCTTCAGGGGTTCTAGGCTAAAAGGGGAAAGGAGGGCGTTGGGACCAAGGGGCATCCTGGCTTTTATGTACGCCCCTGAGAGGCCACCAGACACATTCTCCCAACCGCAGATCCCCCTTCCCCACACCCTGCTCCTTGCGTGTCGGCCTGAGAGCCCTTGTTTTGAGAAGCTTGGCAGAAGCTGCAAAGGGTGGGTGGGCAGCTAAGAGAAATCGACCCAAGGATGTAAAGCGAGGCCATTCCGTTATAACTGGATGGACGCTTTTCATTTTTTCCTTCTTTCAGAGACAATCTGTTTCGCGTTTTCCTAAGAAAAATTGGAACCTTTGTAATAGCATCTAATTTGATGGGGTTGTCGATGTGAGAGCTAAATATGCCCGCGATTGCAAGGTGCGATTGTGAGAGAGAAGGTGGCCCAAGGATGGGAATGGATAGAAGCAATACCTCCACAGAACCGAGCTTTGAAAACAATAACTTCCTATTTCAGAACAATCCCCAAACAAAAACAAGCTAAGGGTAGAATAAACGCCTTGCCGGTCTGATTGCTGATGGGTCTTTTCCAGCTAAGAATTTCAAGTTTTCTCTTTTAGATCCTGCTTTCTCAGGCAGTATCTGAGACTAGAGT